CTATGGCTCGGTCACGCCTCCCTTTCTAAGGCCGCCTTTATCGAATCTAGGTGCCTTAGCACATTCTATTCACCACAAAAGTGTTCCCGTCCTGCATCGTATTAGCACTTCTTGGACCTGTCAGTCCTAATTCTTCCTACGAGATCGCTATGGGATTTCGTGACAGACAGACGGGACGCATCAACAACCATACACACAAAACACACACACACACACTCTACAGACATACTTAGCGGAAGTATATATAGTAGGATAGTAGGGATAGTGGATGAGTTCATTTTCAGGCAATCAGGGAAGTGATGGCTAAAGGAAAGTATGGCACACTGAGCCTTCAATACTTGGCAGTATAGTGGTTAGGAGATGTAATGATAATGGCTCCTTATCCTTTCTTATCAATTGATAAGATCCCTGTCACCCGTCATCAATGTCCCTATCACTAAATTCTGTAATTTGTTAGTGTAAAGGCTCTGGCAATTTGACTGAATCTTAGTCCTTATCAGCCCCTATCAGCTATTATCACCCGTGCCGCGTCCCCATCTCCAACACTATATCATTTTCTGAAATTAATGCCTAAGTGATGCTGTGTTCCGCGTTATAGTGTATGGTGACCTTACCATTCTAACTCCCCATTATCAAATCCTATTAGCTGCTATCATTCCCTGTCACGCCATCAATAATGTTCCTGTCCCACGTCCTATATCATACCTTGGAACCAATGTCCCACTGTTTACTGTGTCCCGCACTATGGGTCCGGTTCACCCTCCCCTTCTGACGCCTCTTGCACGGATCTTATCAGCTGCTATCATTCCCTGTCACTCATCACAATGTTCCGTGTCCACGTCCTATATCATACCACCAGGACAAATCGTCCCCACGTGTTACTGTGTCCGCACTATGGGCTCGGTCACCCTCCCCTTTCTGACGCCTACTTCGACGGATTTATCAGCTGCCCTATCATTCCCTGTCAACCATCAATAATGTTCCTGTCCCACGTTCTATATCATACCTTGGACCAAATGTCCCACTGTTACTGTGTCCCGCACTATGGGCTCCGGTCACCCTCCTTTCTGAGGCCCTTATCGAATCTTATCAGTGCTATCACCATTCTATCACCTCACCAAAAGTGTTGCGCGTCGTCTGCCATGTATATCACTTCTTGGAACTGTCGTCCTATCTTTCACTACGACACTCGCTTGAATTTTGTGACAGACGAGGACGGACGCACCCTGATTGCCCTAGAAAATGAACTCATCCCACTATCCTACTATATAATTATAATGCCGATGTCGACGAGGCGGGGGGGGGGGGTATGTAGTTCGCCTGAAACAGGAATGTGAGGGAAATTCGAGGAGAACCGAAAAACACGAGCGGATTGCATGCTCATTGGAAAGGGGAACATACATCGCAAGGCATTTCGGTACAGGTAATGGAAACGAATTCTACTCTTTTACTGAGCGATTCATACTGCCCTGTATTGGCCGACTACACATTGTACCTATCTACAGAGTTATGTATTCTATGGGCGTCATGGCGCGGACTACACCGCTGCTGTAAATGGAAGCGCGTGCGGGATCCTAAGCCTTGCTCTGTCTGTTACGATTCGATCACTACAGTGCCTCATGAGGCCTCATGAGCAGCGCACTACCGAAAAAGTTCCGCTAAAATTATGGAGCCACCTGGCGAAGCCAGGCCAGCTCGGCGAAGCCGAGCTCAAGAGAAGGAGGAGAGCACGGCGTCAGCCGTGCGATCCGACTGGTTTAGAATAAAGGTTTAACTACCCAAGTTTGAGGCCTTCTCACACGGAATCCGCGTGGCGACCAAACTGGTTTACGGCGAGCAACAGTAAGTGAGAAGGACCTCAATTGGTGCATCTGCTAGATTGTGGTTACGGTATTCGACTGGAATCTTGAAGAACGCGTTACAGGCCAGTTTTTTCTTCTGAACATTGTCGTTTAAACGTAATCGTCTTTGCATGTTTACGTGTTCGCTACTGTAAAAAGTTGAGTAAGAGGGTTTCACTCGCGTATAACTTAGGTTCGATCAATCTAGTTTCTGAGAGTGAATCATCTTCCGCGTAAACATCCTTTGTCCCCACAACTCCATCGCGTTGAGCAGTCAAATAAGGGTTTGAAATTCAAATGACAAAGAAACTCTCTTCCCACAAGCGGTTGCTGACCAGCTACTGCAAAAAGCTGGAAACAGCTCTCTCGCGTTTCAAAGGGGAGAAGTTAGAGACTCTGAAGGTTTTGGATGAGGACCGCACTCCAGGGTATGAGAAAGAGTGCCGAAAGAGGCTCCAAGAGGGGCTTGGAGTTATTGAGGCATGTACTTCAAAAATCGAACAGTTGTGGAAAGAGTATGGGGACGCGTTTGATCGAATCGAAGATCTACCAAAATCAGAAAGTGACGATTACGAGGTGTATTCGGCCTTAGCAGAGGAAGCGCTCAGTTCAGCCCTCGACTATACAGTCATTCTAGAAGGCCGATTGCGTGCTTTCAAATCAGGTAATGGGAGTAGTTCTGAACTTACTAGGTCGCATATAGCAGAAAGTTCAGTACAGGACTACTCTCCCGAAGTTAAAAAGATCGAACTACCAACTTTACCCATTCCAACTTTTACGGGGTAATACATGGGATTGGGACAACTTTTGGATTTTATTCACAGCCAATGTTTATTCACAACCCATCCCACCGCTTTTTAAATTCAATTATCTTTAAAACGCGTTGAAGGGAGAAGCTTACAATGCGGTAAAAAAAGTTTCAAATTACGGCTGAAAATTATCAGAAGGCGGTAGAATTATTGATTTCAAAATACGGGAATCATGAAGATCTAGTAAAACACTTAATCGACCGCTTAGAAAAGACCACTTCGCGTTCAACCTCGACCAAGGACCTGCGCGTGCTGCTAGAGCTACTTCAGGCCATAATCTCACAGCTCCAGGACAAGGGCGAGCCAGTGGATGGCCAACTGCTTGTGAAACAGGTTCTATCGAAATTCTCGGATCGTCTACAAAGAAGGGTGCTAGAAAGGAAGTATTCCATGGAGGGATCCTTTCACATGGAAACTCTTTTCCAGACTCTCGAGGATATCATTTCTAAGGAAGAGCAAATTGCGCTGTACACTGCCAAAGATGTCGCGTCTCAGGCACGGGAGAGGAAGGAGACCATTCCTAAGGAGCAGGTTCGAGCGTTGGGGTTAGATTTTTGAGTGGGTCGTGCATGTACTGCGGAAGTGATCACAAGGCGAATGCATGCACAAAATACCGGACGCCTCAGAAAGAGCAAAGTATTTGAGAGAACATAAATTGTGTTTCATTTGTGCATCCCCACAGCATTTCACTTACCAGCGCAAAGGAAGGATGTGTTTTGTCTACCAGGGACCCCACCATACTTCCTGCTGCTTCAATACAGGGTCGTCAGTAGGATCACCCGTGAAAAAGAATGAAACACTACCGGTGAAATCTTCAGCACTCCCACCGCCAAAAGATAAAGGTAAGGAAAAGCCGGCACAAAAGACACGGTCGGCGGGCGCCTACGACTAATCATCGGATCAGTCAGGAATCAGAAACTAGTATTCTTTACAGTAAGAAACAGGGAGACCCATTGACCGAGCTTCAAAGACGGGAAGAAAATCATACGAAGAACAGAACTTTTTTGCCTACCGGAGAGATTACGATACTGGATCCCACCACGAGGCAATTGAGGAAAATAGCAATACTCCTTGATTCTGGTGCAGCATTATCGTTCATCGACAGTGCACTCGCCGATGAGTTGCAATTACCTACTCTGAAGACGACCAGGCTACGTCTTCGCACATTTGGATCGGATCGAGTACAGGAGTGCGTCAGCCGTAAGGTTCCCCTAGAGATATGGGACGATGAAGGGAAATCATACTCGATGGAGCTCCTTACACATGACATTTTGACCACTACTTTGAAAAATCCCCCTCTGCTAGAAGAAGACCTCGATTTCATCAAGACCGCAAAATCCCCATCAAGTTGATCCAAAGGCAGGAAGACTGATCAAATGTGGCAACTTATCCGACCGGATGAACACCACATAAGCCTTCTATCAGGACTCCATCTACTTAACTCATTTAGGCCATCTGCTGACAGGTAGAGTTCAAGGAGGACATCAAGTTACTCTTGTAATAGGAAACTCAGAAGATCAGGAAGAGCAGCTCGGACCAAAAATGGGAACAAGCTTGGTCCCTCGAAGCCCAGATGAACCCGCTTTCCTTCGAGAGCCTTCCCGACGATATGGACGAAAAAGGATTATGGGATAGGTACTGGTCTTTAGAACAGGACGGTACAGAGGACTTCACGAGATACGGAAAAAGAGTTCAGGTGTTAGGCATCAGAAAGTTCTCCAGAACTTCTTAGACACGATTGAGAAAAAAGATGATGGTTACTGTGTACGTCCTACCTTGAAGGACATTCCAACGACATTACCGGACAACAGAGCCATAGCATTACGCCGTCTGTAAGCGTGTGGTCCCCACTGAATAAGGACAAGGAAAGGGAATTTACTGGAGAAGTATAACAGTATATTTCAAGAACAGCTGAACATGAATATTATGAGCACAGACCAGTGGAAGGCACAGTTCATTATCTTTCCTCATCAAGCGGTGTTGAACCCAAAGGAAACCACAACGAAAGTATGGATTGTTTTTTGATGCATCAGCCCACCATAAAAACTCTCCGTCCTTAAAGGCACAGTTCGCGACCGGCGAATTGCGGGAAGCGGAACTCAAATAGGCACAAAAAAAGTGCCATGTATCTGATTAGCGGAGAAAAGCAGCAGAAAAAGCAGTCTGAAATGTTATAGAGAAAGATGACATCGCGGCTACTAGCTAGTAGCTAGCAGCCACTGAGGGTCGGCATGGGCCTAAGGGTGTCCATGGGCCTAATTAGTCAGCTTCTAGCGGAGTTCCTGCCGTTTTTCACATTTTGAGAGTAACGCAGCCTCAAAAATTCCGGATAGTCCGACACATTTGAGAGTCATAGCCCTATTTTATCGCGGAATGTGCCTTTAAACGACGCGTTGCATAGAGGCCCGGTGATTTTGCCCGAACAAGGTATTCTGCGATTCCGGATTGGGGGTATCGCCTTGATATCGGATGTAGAAAAAAGCGTTTCTACAGGTTCGTCTCCATCACATAGATAGCGGATGCACGCGTTGCTGTGGTTGCAGGATCACACGATTCCCCCCAGTGCTAAGAAGCTTCCTCGCCGTTCTTATTGGCGGCTACAACTCATTACACCGAGACCGTATTCTGATGATGAACAACTCATCAAAGAGATCAAGGAAAATCTCTATGTGGATAACCTTCTTACTCACCCAAAGAAGCGGTTCGCGTGTATTCTTGAACTAAAAATATTTTCAAAGACTTAAAAATGAATTTAAGGGAGTTCAGTTCCAATAACAATCAAGTCATGGAAACAATCGCGTCGGGTGACAGATCTACGGATGTGGATCCCAAAGTCTTAGGTATTCCATGGACTACTTAGATGATAAGATCCATATCGCGTGTAAAATGATAGAGTCAAGAGAGACCACAAAGCGTTCCATAGCGAGTGCCATCGCGTCGGTGTACGATCTCATTGGGTGGATGTTGCCATTAGTGCACAGGGCAAAGGTCTTCCTACAGTCGCTGTGGAAAGATGAACTTAGTTGGGATACACCCCTTTCAGAAGATCGTAAGACGGAATGGGAAACGCTCGTCAAGGATATGCAAGGGTTCCAGAAGGAGCTACCGCGTTCTTTAATCACGAAGTACTCGGAGGCTCGATTGGTCACGTTTGCCGACGTTAGTATGGAAGCCATGGCATCATGTAACTACCTATGCTCCGGAACATCGGTTGACTTACTCATGGCTAAAGGGAAGCTTCCGTCACTAAAAACTCTTCCTTCCGTCACTTCCGAAAATGACTATTCCCAAAATGGAACTAAGCGCATTGACTTTTGCTATGCGCCTTACAAATTCGGTAGTTTCCCAAATTGACGCTATTGCCTCTATAAAGTCAATCCTCATCCTGACGGATTCGGAAATAGTATTGAGTTGGATTGCAAAAGATTCGCAAGCGGATATGAGCCCTTTCGTGATCACGTTCTAGAAATCCGTAAGATAACAGCTCACTTGGAATAACGTGGCTATCCCGTACGGTTCGGACACATACCCTCTCAGAGCAACCCAGCAGTTTGCGCCACGAGAGAACTCGACAAAACGCAATTAAGGGATCACTTCTGGTGGAATGGGCCCAGATTCCTGTCCAATAATGCGAACACATGGAAATACGCGTATACTCCGATTCTGATGAGCACATCCCATGACGAGGTTGAAAAATGGGACGATGTTAAAGACACGGCCACAGAAAATCGCGTATTAACATGCATAAAAGAAAAGTTTGAAGATATTTTTCAGAGCATTCGCTTTTCGAGTTTCTCCAGTGTTAAATGCGTGGTCGCTTATATTCTGCGGTTTATTACCACCCTTATTGACCGCGTAAATAAAAGCAGAACATCTCCGCGTACGCTCTCACTGATTTTTCAACAGATGAAAGACTCTATGGGAGACTCATTAAGAGTAAAAGGGACAGAAATGCTTTTGGCGGCTGCGATGCTAGTCAAACAGCACCAGCTTTCCCACGCTCCTCAGAAATTCTCAAGTCGCTTCATCACCTCAATCTTTACGAGGAGTACGGAATAGTGAGATGTCGCGGAAGACTGGGGGAAAAGCGATCTAGAAGAGGAAGCCAAGTTTTCCATGCTCATTCTCCAAAAGACGTGGCTTTCTCAGATGATCATAACAGACTGCCACAGTAGGCTACACCTCAGCACAAGCCATACAATGTGTCGCGTACGAGAAAATCATTGGATCCCTCAGCTTAGGGCGGAAAGAACCAAATTAATCAGGCGATGCGCAACGTGCCAAAAGTTAAATAAATTACCGTGTAAGTATCCCGAATAAGGTGACCTGCCAACCAGAAGGGTAACTAGATCGCGTCCGTTTGCACATGTAGGCTTAGACTACTCCGGACCTTTATTTGTCAAAAGTGAAGAGCGGGTAAACAAGTGCTACGGATGTATTATCACCTGTATGGTCCCAAGGTTAATCCACCTCGATATAGTAGCAGACGTCTCAACTATCGCGTTTCTTCAAATGTTGCGTCGATTGTTTTCGCGGAGAGGCACTCCGCTTTCGATTACGAGTGACAACTCTCCTACATTCGCGTTAGGGGACGCCATTTTATCCGAATGTTTTCAACGGATAAGTAATGATGCAACCATAGACAAAGAAGTGAGCAGTAGACAAATAAACTGGATTTACATAACACCCTATGCACCATGGCAGGGAGGGGTGTATGAACGTCTCAGTCAGTAAAACTCGCCATGCATAAATTCCTGGGGAGCAACCCCCACCCGCGATGAGTTAGGGACGTTGATTGTAGAAACTGAAGGGATGTTAAACACTAGGCCATTGGCATATGTGGGGTCGCAGTCGGACATAAATCGCGTTTTAAGACCCATAGATTTTCTTCAAGACGAATCTGAAGTTTCGACTCCTCTGAACGTTGCAGAAGATGACACTACAGACCCCACGTACGTTACTCCAGCAGAACGCGTAGCTCTCCAAACTAAGATACAAGCTTTGGAGGCGCTAAAAAGTTCATGCCAGATGACGGAAAAGTTTTAGCACACGTGGCAGTCACAATACCTTACATCCCTTCGAGAAAAACACTAGCGAGACGTAGGAAAGAAGCGGGGATCGAGTTTGACCCCTGAAGCCGGAAAGATGGTATTGATCTGTGATGCTCTCCAACCGCGTTATCAGTGGAAAATGGGATGCATTGTGGATTTAGTAAAAAATGAGGTCGTAGCTAGAGAAGCTGTAATATTACTCCCGTCGAGTAGGAAGATTAGAAGACCGGTGAATTTGTTAGTACCGCTCGAACTGGGTGATGATGATAGCTTGTCAGAATCCCTTCCTACGTCGACTCCAACACCAACAGCGGACAGTATTTAACACCAGAATCTAGGAACATGGGTACCCAGCCGGCTGGACAGGCAGCTCCGCGTTATAATCTCCGACCGAGAAAGATGGGGCAAAGTAAAGGTCATGGCGCGTACTCAACACTGACCACGAATACGGTTTGCCTGGCTATCATTACTACGCTGATCGGTTTCAGCTTTGGGGCGGACAACCCCCCCCCCACCAGTTCGCGTAATGGACGATATATTCGTTGTATCCCAGGCGGCGTTGAACTTACGGAAACCGATCAATTACCGTATGAGGTCTGTGCGGAAGATTACTGTATACACTACGCGTGGCCCAATACTACTGAGTCAGTGAGACTCCCATTTCCAATAATACTTCATGAACATGACGTTTGATGGAAACTTTTAAAGGGCACTTCGCTTATAACGATAGAAACAACCTGTCCTTCCGCACCATTCTGTGACCATATCGAGTGTACATTTTGTTCGACTTTGGTATTCAACCCGGAGTGCTGGCCGGTAGGAGCCATCTGGGTAACGGCAGTGATTTTCTACTTTGTCATTACAGGCCGCTATGTATTTTTCTACATCCCATTGGTGCTAGGGACACCCATTCGCGTTTTCCTCACAGGACTACGACGTTTAGGAGGCTGCTTCTATAGGGCGATTCGCGGGAGAATTTGCCGCGCTCGTCAGGCCAACGGTGGATCTGATTGAACTACTGGCCCTTGTGATAAGCCTAGCATCGTTCATGTATACGGTATATGGGTGTCAGGAAGTGAATATTTTCTCCCATCATAGCACCCTCTGTAGCACTTCAGGAAACCGGCAATTATGCAAGGTCCAGTTGTCGGAGGTACTTAAAATCAGTCCGTTTAAGCGAGAATCCTGTTTCAAGATGGAGACGAATTCTACTACCGTCCATGAAATTCGACTAACTTGGAGATCCCTCATGCTCACGTGTGAGCCAGAGACAGACTACTTCACAAGGGATGCAGAGTATCGCGTAGTGGACAGCAATATGGGATCTGCAGCGGGCCTGAATGCGCTCAAATCAATGGCTCTTCCCTCATTCCTGAGTTGGAGCAGGGAAATGCATACCCAGGTACAACCTACTGCGCAGTCGTGTGGAGGACGTGGCTGCGACTGCTGGTATTGGGGATCAGGATGCTTATTCTATCGCGTATATCTCTTTCCAGTCTCCAATGAAACGTACGAAATTTTTCACTGTAATCGATGGAAAGAAGCAGCAAAAATAGAGGTCATACATTTTGAAGCGATAACTAACGGCAGGAAGAAGCGCGTTATTCACATGATACCAAGTGTACCTGTACGATGGAACGCGTTCTCCTTGACACTAAGCTCCATTACGGTACCTCCCACGCCGCTTCTAAGCAGATATTTCATATCGAATACCAAAGGAACGGCGTGGTGGGACTCGAGTTTAGCGCCCCCGCTACATTGCTCCAACGCAAGTGCAGCGGCGAAACTGGACTGTGAAGTGCAAGACGACTGTACCTGCTATCCAGAAGAGACAAAAGCCAAAAGCTAAGTGTAGGCAAATAAGCATTGCCACATGGCTTGGAAATCTGCAACATGGTTTCCCGGTCATTACACCCACAAGCTAGCGTGTCCACGATGGTAACGTCCGAGATAGTGCTCAATCTCGACAACGAATATGAGAGAATATATTGGTGGATGAAGCCATATGTAGAGTGTCAAATGCCGTACTCACGGGCTGTTACAACTGCGCGAAGGGAGCGCAGGCGCGTATCATCTGCACGTCATCCCGATTAGCACAAGCGGAAATTATATGCAGTGATGCGAGTTTTGTCGTTCCCTGCAACTTAGACGGTGTGGAATCTTTATTACGATTCAGCTTCACAAAGGCCCGCATAAATAGCCGATGTTCTGTTTCATGCGGACCCGTCCTGTCCACATTCGAAATAGGCGGAATCCTAAAATTTACGCATTCTGTAGAAGGAATGATAAGCTCATGGATCGAAGGCCGAATAAACAGCTTTCAAGACATCGAGTTCCCCGACGTTTTCCATACTGCCCACGTTTTCGCTCAGTGGTATAAGACCCTACTTCTGACAACAGGTGCACTAGCACTGGCAATCATAATTACACACATCTCCATATGGACATGGGGACCCAAAGTTGTATTAGAAGTACTACGAGCAATTGCGGCAACGGTCCGACTGTTTTTTCGTACCTGTTTTCGCGTTCTCCTTGTCTTCTCAAAGTCCTTTCATATTCTAAACCACCAGAAGCACAGACACCTTCAGGTAAGTTGGAAAATGCAGCCACGCCTACCCGATGTCAGGGATCTCGAGTATATTAACACGTTGACGACAGTCGCCTGATCTGATTTAGAAAACGGTCATTTTGGTTTGGTTTACCTGTGGTTATATGTCATGTCCAAGATCGAAAATCGTGTTCCGCTTTGCACGAAAAATCACGCTTAGACATAATCCCATGCACCCACGAGAGTCGAGTTCTTCATCAATTTACGCCTTTTTCAGGATGGCCGAACGAGATAGTGACATCGCGTATTTTTCCACTCTATACTCCACCGTCATACCGCGTTGAATCGCGTACATGAAGACTTAAAAGCGATCGAGGAAGCGTTTCATCGACAAATTAGTGTCGCGTCAATGATCCAACCACAATGGACTCATATTGTTACGGATTAGACTTTCATTCTCGGAACACCTGGAGACAGGATTCGAACTTTGGCGAAGCAAATGAAAAACCTCGTTCTCACAAGAGAAAGATTTTCGTGTATGGCAACACATTTCGTCTATACGAACCGCTACTACAAGGAACTCGCAGTATCAAGGAAGATCACAATATGCGAGAAAGAATTGGGATTGCCAAGCGGAAGGGATGCTTCTCCAATTAGATAAAAACATCAAAGTCTCTACTCCAGGAAATGGCACAGGCGGTTTCGAAGAGTTGCAGAAGAAAATAACCGAGCAAGCAGCGGAGATATCGCTTTTAAAGGAACAGATTCAGAAGCCACAGTCACATCTGGAACCGCGCCCAGCAGATGTAAATGACAGACGACGCGTACTGGTCCCGTATGGTCGAAGAGGTTCACGACATGCAGGAGGTCAGTCAACCTCAAACTCCTCCACCACTTGCGTCCGATGGGGAGGACGAGGACGAACAAATGGAGTATCAGCCTACAGCTGAAGCTGATAATGACGAAAGAAGGGCTGAGGACCCACTGGTGATAACTCCAGCAAACACTAGCGTTCGCGTCGTTGAACTCGTATTACCGGGAGCCGCGGAACCCTGTGATGATCGCGTACCTGCACAAGAACCTCCAGGAGTCCAGGAGGCACAAGTCCAGGAGACCCAAGTGCAGGAAGTCCATGAAGATCGAGTGGTTGAACACGTCCCTCGGCAGAAGTCGAGCAGCAGCGACGAGGAAAGGGGAGCTGAGGAAAGGGGAGCTCAAAATCGCGTATCATCACCGGAAAACGAGCCCCGTCCATTGTCAACGGACACATCGGCAGACAGTGACCCCCCCCCCTAGGAGAACATGCGAAGCTGTACCGAAGACGAAACGCTGATGAGCTGAGAAGACTCATCGAAGATGTGCAAAAAGACATAGAGAAAATGGAATCTATGTTACTAACTTTCCCCTACAGGAAGAAGGATCACTTCTCACCAGGCATACGATCGATGGTACGTTTTGTGATGTAACCGGGGACCATTTCTCCGATTCCTGCCCTAACATCACGGAAGGAAGTGACCGATGGAACATAACACAAGACCGACTCGTCTGCCAACACTGCTTGACACACTGCGGAAATAGAAACAGATGCTCCTATAGAAGAAAGTCGTGTTTCTATTGCGATCGCGTACGAGGAACACCCTTCGAGTCGCTCATACCAACGGATCATCATACAGCTTTGTGCGACGTGCCTGATAAACGAGGGGACGCACGCTTGCTAATCGAAGATGCCAGACAGGAGTTACGGGATCTGCTCGGAGAGTTAGCAGCGGTAACGATGGAAAGGCAACATGAAATTGAGAGGAGACATCACGACAGATCGCGTAGCGCGGGCAGAAGACAGGATGACGACAGATCGCGTAGCGAGCGCAGAAGACAAGATGACGACAGATCGCGTGGCGCGGATGAACGCCAGGATCACGACAACCGGAGGGAGGAGACATCACGGGATATCGAGAAAGGACCGACAGGTACTGGTGGACTCGAGAGTGGCTGGAAGAAGGATAGTTAGTGATCGCACTTGTTGTCGTTGATGTTGTATGAATTCTTGGTGCTAAATAATTTTTTTTGCCAGCCGGAGTGACGACAACGGTCGTCTTATCATAAGCTTGTAAGCTAATAACTCTGAATTGTGTAAGTAGGGTAGATCTTTTAACTCGAACAGTTGTCCACGAGAACTATCGTAAGTATTGTATTTATCGCATGTATGTTATGTTATATTTATCGTATGTTATTTATGTAACTCTCTCTAATATCAATCGATAGTGGGTTTAGGAGCTCGAGGGAGCTTTGTTGCTGATCGAGGAGGCTGATTGCAGGCCGCACAGTGCTGCGTCTGGTCGCCGCATAAAAGGGCGTCTGCCAGAAAGGCTAGCTCATCATGCGTATCATCATCTCGCGTTGCCATCAGCTTTCTCGCATTACTTCTTATTCGTTATAGAACTATCATTCTTAGTGCTTTAATATTTACAGGTTCGCGTTATCAGGAAGATTAAGGGTTCTTTAAGCACTTACATTTAAGTACTCATCTTTGCATTCGTATTTTATATATGTATCGTTTATTTTTACTACAAGTATTTAGAATAAAGGTTTAATTACCCAAGTTTGAGGCCTTCTCACACGGAATCCGCGTGGCGACCAAACTGGTTTACGGTGAGCAACAGTAAACGTGAGAAGGACTTCATCACTCAATTTGTGCCGGTTTTGGTAGCTCGTGCGTGCCTCGGCTTAATGAGGTCGCTTCGTACCTCGTTAAAGACAGCTCCCGCGATAAAAGTGTCAAGGGTAATTGCTGATCAATTATGAAACAATTGCTGATAAGTAATTCCTCAATGAAGGAAAAAATAAACAAGAGCCCTCAACCCACCCCTGACAGTTGCACCTCTCTGCGGTCTCTGTGCAAGCCCTGGCTCACAAATCACTTTGTCACATCTTCCAGTAGTGGATATCATCGAATGCGAAGAAAAGAAAACAAAAAACAACAGAAACGTAGCGGAAAAACTCTTGAAAATAAACGGAAGCATTTAAAAGGTCGGCGTCCGAACTCAGGGTTACGGTAGCGAGCATGTTTTAGTGTAGTGAAGTTCGTCGAGCTTTTTCACCACAGAAATTGCATCATTCGTGATTTTTACGCATTTTACCTTACGAGATGGTTGCTGTTGACTGTACGTGCTCCCAATGAATAAAATGTGATTAAGGAGGGCAGAATTATTTACGAACACGAGCGCGGTCAGCAAAAAATACATGCAGTTCCGATTAATGACTGCCGTCCCAACAAGGAACAACTGAGCGGCTCTCCGCTAGAGGGCAGCTACCTAGTGAGGCGGTCCAACTGAGAGGCGTTAGAACTAGAACTTTGAGCGGTTCTAGCTCGCTCCTCGCTCGCTGAGGAGTCGCGAGAGTGAGGCAGTATCTAGCTTGGGGGCTGAACTACCTGCTCAAGAAAGGACGACCATGTACTACTTGAGCGCGGGGGCTGTCTTTAATGCCTCGAATCATAGGTACGACAAGTCATTAACGAGATCAATCGTACCATGTTCCTATAACCCTAAGTAATCTTGCTCAAAGAACACTCACTTCGGACGAAAGTCACACGACGACATCTGCACTCGAAAATTATCAGAGCTATCATCAACTGAGAGGGACAGATTCTCCAGATCATCTTCAAACATCAACTGCTCATAATCAGCCGCTTGTGCATTCTTCAAAATATCCTCTATCCCCGTCGGCATGTGAACGTTCTGAACGCTTTCAGTAGTAATCGATCAACCACTATAAATAGAGAAATAGGTAGCGAGCGACACGCAAGCACACATGCAGGATCTAAAATCTTCCATCTTCCTATTTTTAACATCAAAATACATGAAACAACAACAATCAGGACAAAACTGCTATCGAGAGTACAGATGCACCCGGAAGATTGATATGAACACACTGCTCCTATGGTCACGGAGAAAGAACACGAGAAGAGTAGCCGAAAGGTGGTAGAGTTGATTGTAAGTTCCCTCAGCTAACCAGGAAAGGTCCACAGGTCAGCCGGGCCATATGCAATGAGGTGCCCATCGCTGCACTCACCTCAAGATGGCGAACTCGAAACCAACTTTAAAATTTGCGGAATGATTCTCTTAGTGAAGATATGGAGGTTTTTGTCTGCCATTTTTGCTTCAAAGCCCGCTGATGCCGGAGCCTTGGCAGCTGTGGAGTGATATATAACGTTGTTCGTGTACAACAGACCTCATATTCGTGTTCAGAGGCTTAACACATTGCGGACCGCCGTACTGCGCGCACCTCCTAATCATTCCAACATTTTTCATAAAAAATTGATCATTAATTTCCTCCCTATTTTTAAACGCTCATGAGGGAGGATATGTTGATAACCGAAGACGTGTTTTCACAAGAACAGAACATGAAAGAATATTCAAAATAATCAAATAAAAGACAGCATAGAAGCAAATTCATGACACACCATGTGTGTCACGCGGTCCGGAACGTGTTAAATAACCCCTAGCGATGGCACCCTAGCGAAATCTGAGTTTCCGACACAACTTCGGAAAAATGGGGTTAGCTCAGTCATGGCTGACTGGTAGCCAACAGCGAAACTACGACTAGCCTACTGGTGATGACTGTCTTCGAGCTGAAATAATTCTTCAGTCATGTATTTCGCGAAGAACAATTCCTTGGCCCTCTAATTCGTGCCGTCTGCATCATTCTCCTGATGCGCGTAGAAAATTCCATCCCGAGACCAGTCATCGATAGTAGGTGATCTAGTCCACTGCTCGTTACCCATGGAATAGCCTACATTTTCCAAGTTAGGTCGAAATATCAGATTCGGGTAGGAACTTAAACTCGCTGAACAAGAATATCATAGTATTTCATTGCAAAAACCATTTCCACTTGTGCTACGAGGGGGACAAGCACAAACGCTCTCTCAGGTAACAATGGACGTACACTTTCGAAAAAAAAACTGATCGCAGGTTCCCTTACACGCTAGTGCGGGCGAGCAAATGTAAGGAGCTTTGTCGGCCATGTTCCTGAAAAATGCAAAATGGGCGAGCTCACGAGAATCGATCCCAGGATCTCTCACCTGGGGAATCTCGCTCGCTTCTCTGTCTCCTCGCAATAGCGTGTAAAACAACCACGCGGGATAAAATGCCCCTAATTCCGCCCAGAGAATCGTTCCGCAAGTTTTGAAAGTGGATTTCATTCCTCAAGACGCGCACAACGGTGTGCACCCCACAATTAGAAATGGCCGGGCTGGCTTGTTGATCTTTCCTGGCAAGAGGATTACTACTATCAAGGATGTGAACCTACGAAATATCACGCTATGACAAGTTAACGCAGTGCTATC